TCCAAGCTCATCACAAATAGCACAACAGCAGACTGTTGTTTCTGGCTTTGGTGCTGTCTGTCATTGGCGATGGGCGGCTGTGATTTACGGCCCATGCAGATGTATGAGGTCTGTGAGCAGCCTCCAGCAGACTGCGGCTCGAGGTCTCCGTCATAGAGTCGGGGGGGGGGTACAGGCCCCTATAACGACATAAAGGCTTGAGCCTAAACTTCGCCTCATCAAGGAAGCCACATCCACATCACGCCCCACATTCCTAATTTGCGTTTACCGCTTGTTTGCCGAGGCAAGCAGTTTCTGCAGTTTCAAATGATTTATATTTTCAGGAAAAGCCTTTAAAAGAATACGGTGATGGTATTGCTCTGAATACATTAAAGCACATAAATATACATTTAAATTTTGGAATATAATTGTAAAATATGATCCAAATCCATATTTTGACATGGACTTTTACCCTAAATTTTGCATTATTTTATAATGCTATCCAATTATAGTGTAATACCTTAAAATTGATCTAAGATTAATTGACAGTGTAGCCTTTAGCCAGTTACGTCGTATAAACTATGAATCATAACCAGGCCTGACTAAATCCTACATCAGCTATACAATTTTATTTTTTATCTTTTTAACCTTCATATTTCAGGAAATGTCAGTGAAAAAAATTGCTTGCTGAAAAAGTGAGAATTTTACACTCTTACCGTTTTTGTTCATTGCATTTTATCTTAATATGTTATTTAAATATAAGTAAATTGATCCTTTAAGTATGCTAATAGGTTGTTTCCATATTTTACATATATATCATAGGAAATTATGCCCTATATACTGTGTGTGTATGTATATATAGAATATATATATGCCTGTTTTCTGTCAGACCATCTGAAAGTGATCATTAGAACCACTAATGACCTTTTGTTATTTAATGTTTTTCGTCCTCTGAAATTAGCACATTAGCTTTGATCTGTATCAGAATGGGCTATGAAAAAGCATCTGCCTTTCTATATGAATGTGGTTAAACTTGTGACAGAGGTATATGTTTCGTGGAAACACATGGCGTTCACTGATAAGGAGGTGTACATTACGGTCACACGGAACAATCTGGAATTTTATCAACCAGTAGGACTTGGCTAATTCAGGATAAATTTTCTGTTACTTCTCTGGTTCACAGAAGAGTAAACAGCAGACCTTTCTGTGTGAAAGTCTATTACAGAATGATCTTATCAAAGCACCACCAAGGCAAATTCCTTGTATGGAAAATACTTGGCTAATAAAGAAGATTCTGATTCTGATTCTGATTCTGAAACACAGCTGGTTAAAAAGGTTTGCCGTGCTGCAAAGAAAGTGATTACCAGACCTAACATTTGTATGGTGACAGCAAAAAGAGTGGTTGTGATACAGAGAGAGATGCAGCTAAAGCTAAAATCCTGGAAGGTTAACTGCTGTTGTACCATCAAACAAGAAATCCTTCAGTAAACATCAAGCTGCACAGTCAAAAATGAATCGCGCAGTCGATCTGAGGAATAACTGAAAGTTGGTGCAGTTTGAATAAAATTAGCTATTATATTTTAAGCATTTTGATTGTGTCATACAACACACGTCATGGTTTACTTCAGGACTGTGGTCACTGCATCGTGGCCAAACTGTTCAGCGCTGACCCTAAGCAGCTCTGTTAAGGAGACAGCAGGCTAGACCAGTCTGTCTACACTTTTAAATAGCTAAACACTTTGCTGTTTTCTCTCAAATACAATGCACTTCACTATCTGACAGATATTTGTGGCATCTTGCGGTTGTTGCTCTCTGCTCTTTTCCAAGGCATGAATTTCAAATGCTTAAATATTACTCAGGATAAAAAATTAAATTAAAAAAATAATAATTGCATTATAATAAAGAAAATAAATAAGATCTGAAGCTCTGAAGAAGACAAGTCTTGCACTCAGCACAAGGTGCTATAAGGTTTTGTACTAGTTTAAAGAATTTTTTAAAAATTGAGTCACTAATTTTTCCCAAGCGTTCAAAATTGCAGGCATATGTTTTGGGTTCATTTATGCTATGAATTTCAGGATTTTTCTGCACTTTACAGACTAAGGGCCTATCTGAATAACATACAAAATAATGATTAAAATAGTCTTTGTGTATGTTTATTGTTTCAAGCATCAATGTTTAAAAATTGTTTTCTTTGCATACAAATCTTATTTGGAATACTACTAACTGAGGAGTGCATGGATCTACGTATAAAATTATAAATTACATTTGTATAGCGTCTTTCACAAGCCTAAGGTTGCTTTACAGGGAGGAAAAAAAATATCTAATAAAATGACAATAATGGTAAAATAATTAAAAATTGTTAAACTGTAAATGTTACTTTTTAAAAGTCAGTAATTAGGTGTAACACTAAGTATTAGTCCTAAGTTTTTTTACATTTGTAAAAAAAAAAAAAAAACACGATATAACCACATTGCTTTGCGCATGTAATTTGAATAATAATCACCCCTGTTCCTTCTTTTAAAATGAAAGCAATAAATAATGCAGTGCAATAATAAAATAGCCGGACAGTAAACACGCAGTGGAACATCCATGACGAGGCAGGCTGGAGGCAGCAGATACGGCAAAACTGATCCTTGGATTTGGAGGGGGGGGCGGGTTCTGTTCATTTCGGCCCATCCAGGGCTTATGTTAATGAAATACAGAATTAAAAATTATGCAGGTGAAATTCTCCCTTGAAATAGCGACTGTCACCGGACCCCTATCTCATTAAGATAAATATAGCGGAGGGGGGGGGGGGGCGTTCACCGGCAGCTGGAGAATCGGGTGGATACATTTATCTTCACTGTGTTGTTGTTTTGTGCGGGTGCAAAAATGGGTCTAAGCACATTTTAGGCCCGGAAATGTATGGAAATGTATGTGCATTTTAAAGGGAGGGTCGCATCCATTTCCACCGTCCTGATCCTCCCCCCCCCCTTCCTTTCCAGGCTAGCCACACACGGGGCTTTTTTTTAATTTGGTTTTGGGTGAATGAAATGATTATTTCAGTTTTACACAGTCAGCAAGTTTTGATTTAATTTGTATGGCAAAAGATGTCTGTAGACCTGACAAAGGACTTTCAGACTTCATATGTTAATTTTATATGTCGTATTTATATGTTTTGGGTGTGTGTGTGTGTGTGTGTATATATATATATATATATATAAAATAGATATTATAAAGCTGAGTACAAGTGTCCATTGTTCCATAGCTTGCAAAGAATGGTTGGTGTTTTGACTTGATAAAAAAAATGTAAAAATCGGATAAACGTGTATTTCCGTGAGGCAGGGACCAGCCCATGGCTTCTCCAACATCACTGGAGTCAAATTTAGAGGTTCTGAGGGACTTTCCGGTGAGCAGGAGTGTCTCATGCTGGGAAAGGCTGCCAGACCGGCGGGACGTCAGACTCCTTCGTGGTCTGGACCCGGGAGGGCGCAGAACCAGCAAGGCAGAAAAGGGTGCATGTCTTAGTCATATGGGCGACTCGAATGCCCGCAGAGGTCTGGGCAGGCTGCTGGTTATCAGACTGCAAAATCAAATCTTATTGGCTACTGGGCAGACTAGTAAAATTAAGGCTGATTGGCCGTCGCAGAGCCCATGCTGGCAAGATGCCATCTACCCCGGTTTGTTAATTAAATTATTTCTCAGTCACACTTGTGTCCTTTAATTAACTACTTAACGAGACAAAGACACAAGACATCACAGATTTTTCACTATTAAAGGAAAATAATAAGCACAGTAAGATACAGGCACAGCTGATGTATAATTCCGTTTTTATTGTTTGGAGCTGTATTCAGATGAATGTAAAATGCTTAATGGCTGCCAGTTAGAAACAGGCTTTATCCCAGCCTCAGGCCAAAGGACTAATTATTGTGTCGCCTACTGTTTTGATTGGCGCTACGGAGCAGGCTGGGGCAATAAGTCAGACTGCAAAACAACAGTTTGCTTTTTAATGGTTTATGTTGAATAAATAAGAGCCATATTTGGGAATTAAGTTAAAGACTAAATTGCTTGTAGAAATGTTATTTTGCGATAGTTTATAAGGGTAAAAGGATACTGCCGTCAGAGAAAGTTGAAGTTAACGCTCCCAGTGTAGCATGATTAACCCAGTACTGAAGCAGAAACGTCAATATGTGCTCCTAATTTTTCCCAGTGTACTGTGTGTATGTTTTTCACATCATATAGACTGTTTCACATTAATGCATTTGAAGTGGAATGACCCACTAGGGAATGTTTAAATTAACACGATGAGTCACATTTTAATAACCTAAAAACAACTTTTCTTTTCTTATTCACATAACACTGATATAGGACTTAGGTCTTATATTATGTTTCTAGAGGTAATTTTGTATCATTAAGTTTTAATTTGATTAATTTATACAATGTATGCCATGACACCCAAATATTGGAATGAAAATATACAAAAAGACAAACATCTTCTAATTTTAAAATCTGATATTGGTCTTTCAATTTATATATGTGTCCTATATTTTCAGGTATGTCTTGTTGTGGCCATTATGACATCACATCCTGTGATCTGCTCCTGTCTGACATGATTGCTGTAGTTTTCTGAGATTACCTTAAAATGCTCAGAACTTCATTCCAGGCAGAATAATTAAATCACTGCACAGATACTAACAGAACTATGATGAATATATTGAAGAATTTATCCTTAAGTCCTGTAAATGTCTGAGGTCAAATAATATGTTTGTATTCAACTGTACAAAGTAAAACTGTTGAGTTTTACAAAAGTGTGATCCTGAAGGAAATGGTGACAAAAGAAACAGCATAGAAACAGAATTATATTGCCTCAGTCATTGGAAAATGTAAATAAATTCCTGGTTCTGATCTGGATCAGTTTGGGGTTTCATGTCTAATTGAACAATTTATTACTGCTGAGAGGGGCAGTTGGGGGGGGGGTGAATGCATGTGGATATGCGGGACTCAGCCGTGGGTGTTCGGCAAAATTACTAAACACACGCTAAACTTGTGGTCTTGGAAGTTAGTGCAGGAAATGCTGCAGCAGAATAAATATCTGGCAGATGAATCCTACATGCCCTCTGGCCAATTTCAAAGTATAACCTGAGATTTTGCAAGGTGAGTTTTACATTGTAAAGTGAACGAAGGAGCCTGAATTTAAAGTGGCTCCGTTTTCATGTAATACTTTATTACGCCTCCAGGGGAAAAATGAAAACCATATTGAGAAAATTATATTTTACATTTGCTAATCTTTTATTGTGCCTCAAGCTGATGCAAATCACAGGTGCTTGTTCAGACAAAGGCCCTGTGCTTATTGTGGTAACCTACACGTCATAGTATAGATGCCACGCTATTGTAAGTCAGCCTCTTCCATAAATCTAAGCTCAGTGCCTTGCCGGTAATTCAGAGGTGCTTCCCATACGTTCTGTCATGCCATCATATATCATGAGTTACACGCCAGTCTGTGTTTTTGTTGAATTATTTAAAGCCTAGACATTAGCCTAGGCTAACATTTGAGGTACACCTTTCAGATAGTGGATATACACATGACATAAAGGCACATTGTACGCAACGCAGCAACAGATAGTGAGGCTTTTTTTTTCTTTCCTGTTTTCCCGAAATTCGGCGTCGACGTTTCAAAACAAACGGAAACACTGCCGGCGGTTCACAAGCCCGAGCGCCGCGACGTGTCACGGCCAGACGGCGACGCGTGAAGCTGCGTGCGCCCCGCTCCATGCGTGCCCGTCAGCTTGAAAGGGAGAGCTGCGGATTGCAGGAGAGCGTGCAAAGCCCTGGGGACAGGGGCTGTATGGTAATGACGCGCGAGAGGATAGCGCTCACCCTCTACATCCTTATTCCCTTCTGTCATTATGGTACTTCCAAATGATCCCGTGTGCACTTTCAGGGAAACTGATCACAGCTGTAACATTCACAGTCATAAAGTTTACTGGTAAAACAAAGCCACTCAGATATTTCACTGCCTTTTTCTCTGTGCCATTTGTCTAAGTGCATCAACATTTTTCCATCCCGGTGATCTAGAATCTAGAAGTTACAGACCCCTGCATGTATACCAGAGGTACTCAGCAAAGGGGCAGTTTCTGTCCTTATCCCATCACCCTGATTAATAGGTGACTAGTAACATCTGCTGGGCCACTGCTGTTCTTGGCTGTACGTCCTGCCTTCCATCTACAAATACTCTATTGTATCTCATTCTCATACATAATGATCATTACTGCTGTTGGCACTTAATGTATATCACGGGTCTTGTATTTGTCTGTATATGGCTTGTATGTTGTGTATTGTCTATAAATTATAGATAGATTCAGAGGAATCAAAGGTAAATGTAAATGTTCATTGTCTGTGTTTTGTCTGTCTCACTTGACAGATACCATCGGCCGGAACCAAATTCCTTGTGAAATCCTTCCGGGCCTGCAGAGCCCGCCATCGCCACGCTGCCACATCCCGCCGGCGTGCACTTCCGGGCCTGCAGAGCCCGCCATCGCCACGCTGTCACATCCCGCCGGCGTGCACTTCCGGGCCTGCAGAGCCCGCCATCGCCACGCTGTCACATCCCGCCGGCGTGCACTTCCGGGCCTGCAGAGCCCGCCATCGCCACGCTGTCACATCCCGCCGGCGTGCACTTCCGGGCCTGCAGAGCCCGCCATCGCCACGCTGCCACATCCCGCCGGCGTGCTCTAGGACCCTTCGCTGTCCTCCTCACTCTGCTCACTCAGGTACCTACAGGCACCGTTTTAATTTTTTTTCCTCCACAGATGAATTCTTCGCAGTATCTTGCACCGAAGGGCCTTCTAGAATGTTCTCTAGTAAGGGGGTAAGAACTCCCTGCTAGTGTGTGTCAGGCATTGTGCTGCAGTGGTGAAGGTTAGGCTCTCCGTGTGTGTAAATGAACAGGGTGCACGTTCTCCTGTATGCCGTCTAACTTGGCAAGCACGGCTCGCTATTGTGCCCTCCGGAGGACATCAACAAACATCAGCTTGTTCCTTATTGTGAGCTGGGATCAATTAGGTTGTCCTGCGCTAATTAACCCTCTAATCAATCTTATTTGTTCTCCCAGTGGAGCCCACAAAGGCTTGAGGCACGGGCTTCCAGTAAAGATCGCAGTGAAGGACGTGCTTGGGGGCCGTCACTGGCCACTTACACTGGGATGTCTCCCAGCAGTCACTCTCTCCCGGCTTCTTTCACGTGAGTCTGATGTATCGTACGCATTACGGTCATAAGCGTGTGCGGGTGACGCCATTAATATGCTAAATAAAGAAAACGCTTTTATTATCAAATTACCGCAGGTCTTTTGTCATGTCTGATAAACCACAGATTGCTAGCACACAGATACAAATTGTAAGAAACCGTCGACTGTGCTGCTACTATTGTGCTACTGTATTGAGGGGACGACGGTGTTAATTGGGGTGTAGGGAGACATAAGGTGACGTGAATGTGCTTTTAACTGGTGGGGGGGTTTGACGTTTGTGCATCAGAGCTGCCTTGGTTTGGAGCACACGCACACGTGACGCGCATTCCACGTCTTCCTGTCCGCGCTCGCGCGTTACTCCTGGGTATTGGGCTACTGGGTCCCTCGTACACTGATACCCGTCCAGCCGGGGGAGGGCCGCAGTCCACACAGGTGCCACACGCCAACGTCACTCTGTCACAACACACATATTAAACTGATCTGCAGACATACACATTTTTATTGTCAGTTGTCTGGGTGACAGATACAAATGTTGTTAAATAATAGTGACATGAACAGAAGAAAAGGCAACTTAATATCAAACAGACTTTCGATCCATTCCTCCGCTTATTCAGATCAGGTTCACTAGGACACACTATATAATTATCTATAATTACACATTTACATGTATGTCTGGGAACATATTTTTTAAAAATTCTTACATTTCATGATTTTAAAACTGAATAATTTTCTAAATAAATAAACTAACCAGAAATTAAACTAAAAGCATATTTTTTGACTTTTGAATTTACTGTTATAGGAAATGTAAAAGTATATTTGTGTATGTCCGTCTGTTTGTGTGTATGTGTGTGTCCGTCTGTGTGTGTATGTGTATGTGTGTGTATGTGTATGTGTGTGTCCGTCTGTGTGTGTGTCCGTCTGTGTGTGTGTGTGTGTGTCCGTCTGTGTGTGTATGTGTGTGTCCGTCTGTTTGTGTGTCCGTCTGTGTGTGTATGTGTGTGTCCGTCTGTTTGTGTGTCCGTCTGTGTGTGTGTCCGTCTGTGTGTGTATGTGTGTGTCCGTCTGTGTGTGTATGTGTGTGTCCATCTGTGTGTGTGTCCGTCTGTGTGTGTGTCCGTCTGTGTGTGTATGTGTATGTGTGTGTCCGTCTGTGTGTGTGTGCGGTTTTCTATTTTTTGGGGGGAATAGAAACTTCTTTTGTGAGAAGGGAGCACTGACAGGATGTGTCAGGACCTCTTTGTGTGACGAGATGGGGTTCAAGAATTAAATCATTTCAAAACAGACCTTATGCATTTTGCATGAAGTGTTTTTCCGACTCCCCCATTTCTGTTCGGCGGGCGTGGAGACCGCGGACACCCACCCAAAGCCAGAGCGTCTGGCCGGCCTCGCGCTGCCACACTCCTGCCAATCTGAGGGTCCCCGAATGCTGCCGTCAGTGATTTTTATAGGAAAGAAACCCAGCGAGAAGCTGCTACTGGAATGACAGGAATAGCGATTCAGGGAGACGGCGTGGGGGCCGCAGAGCTGAGGGGGCACCGTGCCCCCGCACTCCACAAGCTTGGTGTCCGCGGAAGCGAACCCGGGCCGAGTCGTCTGTCCCTCCCTCCCTTATTTCCGAGCCTGTAATCTCTGGCCGGTGGCAGGAGTCATCGAGGTGTCTGCCTTTCCTCCGACGTTTCCCTTCTGTAAACGTGGAGACGATCCAGTCATCTTAGGAAATGCAGTCTCTACGTTATTTCACCTAGTTTGCCGAGATGAGCCCTTAAACGCGGCCCTCGCTTTCCGCTTCCCTTCTGCATTTTCTGCCTCTATCCCTATCACAGTATCTCCTAACCGTCAAATGCAATGACATGCAATCAGTCTCAGACATTATATTTTATTTAAAATATAAACAAACTGAAACCCCCGAAAAAGGCTTGACCTTTTCAGTGAATCAGCTCATCAGACGCCATAATCTAGGTTCCATTCACATATGAACCATGCAAATGTTTTGGCCATTAAAATTATCCCCTCAGCAGAAGATGCTTAACATTTTTAAGCTGTCAATAATGCACTCACGTCATAAATACACGTGTTTTATATACATTATGTACCGCAAATATTTGTTATATAAGGCAAATATTTGATATATTACACAAATTGCATTTCGGAATTCCCATTCCTTTTTCCTTAAAATATCCATCCACCCAAAATGAACAATTAAATGCATTGTTTTCAATTAATACATCCATGCATTTTCAGTGCGGTAATATCCAGGACAGGGCTGATGCTGCATTGCTCATGTCAGATCTTACGTTTGACGGCTTGTGGTTCGGCTTTAACACAGACGGGGCTGGGTGTGGCTCCCAAAGACAGCCACAACATCATCTGCTTTTCGCAGGGATCAGGAAACACCTGCTGGGCCAAGCTATCCAGCAGATGATCCAAACGTTTCTGTCTCTGCAATAACACGTTAACTTCTCAATCTGAGTATCAGTGTTTCTGCAGGTGGCCCCTTAATATGTTGTGGAAGATGTTCTCCAGGTCATTGTGGAGAACAATATTTCCTTGATGCATGTGAAAACACATTTTGTATGAGAAAACCAAATATGACCTGTACATAGATATCTTTTTTCTTAGATTCATCTAAATTTTATCATACTGGAAGCTATTAGATACTATAAAGCACATCAGCCCTTCTTATTCTGTGTGGAAGAGCTGTCATCCTCTGGATCATATGGTTGCTTTCAGGATTTCATTTGAGACTGTGCTTGGCATTATACTTAATACTGAATGAAAATGGAGAAGCTTTAATCAAAAATTTTCTAAAACTGGGCCTAGTTTCTTCTGTATCTATGGATTATTTTTGCATCTTTGAGCGCTGCACATGACGCAGGCCTGTGCCTTAGAAACACGCCGCCGTCTACCTGCCTGTCATGCGTCTCGCCGCGGAGAATGGCGGTTTGTGTGGGGAGCAGGCAGGTAGCCGCGTATCTGGGGGGGCCCCAGGCGGCGGCGAGGAAGCGGGATCTCACAGCCCTGCGGTTCCGTGTGGCCGCGTGTCAGCGAGGCGTCCGCCCTGATCTGCCCGAACTGCAACACTTTGGACCGATCTCCGTGCGAAGATCAGGCCGATTGTCTTCAGCCTTCCTCATACAGCTGCTCACATGTGTGTCCACTAATGTCCAAATTAATTGCGGTATTAATACTGGGATCTGCTGTTTTTAGTTGCCTCTTTTTCTGTTTTTCTTAGTGTTAGTCACATATAACACACTCATAAAGCATACATTTAATGACTCATCAATATACATGACAAGGATGGACACACACAGAAATGTACAAGCTACAAATGTACACATTGCTTATTAACTTTAGGAATGTATTTCAACTATGGCCTATATAAGAAATATTACAGGACAGTATAACTATAGAATGCAAGCTTTGAATCCATTCTACCTTTCATTGGAATAGACTGATTAAAAATCATACATGTCACATGATCATTTTTACCAAAACATTAACATTATAAAAACTGATATTTTAAATATGTGTGTAATAGAACACTTCACATCTCAGGGAATTTTCAAAGATAACTTGTATTGACAAAACAACTAACCCCTGCCAGAAGCGAACAAATTAACGCACCGGAAAGCGGTAGGCTATACTTGTTAAAAGTAATTTAACTTTCATTTGGCTAACAAAGCTGAAGGTGTGTTCGGAGCCCTTTGCTGAAGCGCTGAAGGTATGTTCTCAGTTACAGTATTTCCCGGTATTAAAAGATACAAAAGAAGCTTTACGTGACGCCCCAGTAAGATTTATCTGATATTTCGCACCAGTAATGGAGTCTGTTTTTTTATCTTTTTTTTCTGATATGATAATGAACGTGAGTTTGGTCACACCGGAGTCCGTGCACATCACCATAACGAAATGAAACAGAAAGTCTTGGGAAGGGATTAACCCATGCAGGACCTGCGTCAGAAATCAGAGCATGTAAAATTTCATTCAAGGAAGAGATACGCATTTTAATCGCCGCGAAGCCCGTTTCCGTTTTTCCCCTCTGAATAAGTCCGAGGAATACAGCCGGTGTGAAATGCGTCCGTCCTGCCGTATGTGCTGAGTGAGAGACTAGGCGCTGCAGTGTGAGCCGTCAGTACAGACATGCCTTACATTAAACCTCGTATTGCGATGGCAGTATCATCAGGCGCCTTTTCTGTTTCATTTTATCATGAGTACGCCTGTATCATTAGATCAGTATGAAGCCAGACGCTCGTCGCGTTTATGTAGAATATTCACATGCAGAATATGTAAATGTGCATGTTACAGCAATACGTTCAATAACGTAAAAAAGTTATTTTTCATAAATCAGTAATGAAGCTAAATTAGTATGATGCTAACGTGTTTTTTCATACCTATTTTTTTTTTCAAAAGGATTATATAATGTTTCATAACCGCATATATTTTCACTGCTAAATCACAATTATATTAACAGCCAAACATTAGTACACTTTGCATCAGTTGTAAACTCTTGACATGCTTAAATGTATGTTTTCCATTACCAAAATGATTTTCCCATAATCTTGTCCTGAATACTGGCCTCGGTGTGAACGTGTGTCCTTGGAGTTCACGTGCTGCCTTTACAGTGCTGCCAAGCAGCGGAAAATTAATGTACTATATAGGGTGAGGCTCCGGTGCCATGTGTAAGTCACCAGATAGACTGCGAACAGAAAATCGGCGGGAAATACGTGCTTATTAAGTGGGATCTACTGACTCGGCACTTTATTTCCTGGGATCCATATAGTAATCAACCAAAATTATTATTTTTAATATTATCATTTAAAGACTTCCTGGTAACGATTAAGCATCCCCCCTTCAACACAAAAAAATAAATTTTGGATAAACACGAAGAAATCACATAACACTTAAAAATACGAATATCAATAGAACCAAAATATTTTTTGACAAAAAAAATTGCCGTGAAATCATGGCGCAAACCAACTAAACTGCCCGTATGCTATGAACTACAATTTACCAAATTGCTTAACGAGTAGATTTATATGTACGGACACTTTAAAGCGCTTAACTCGGAATTAATTACAACCTACAAAATTTACTGGGGGGGAAAAACTACAAAACACAGATTAGCTGAAAAGGCATCTTTACTGTAAACCATAAATGCCAAACGGAGGTAGAGAAAACTACAGGAGCGGAGCGAAGGGACAGGTGTCAGGTGAGTGTGGCGTTTAAGTCTGTGCTACCTGGCGTGATCGAGGCCTCTGCCCATAAAACCAGCTCCGAAATAGAGCAGAGGCTCACTTTCATTTGGTTTCTTTATCAAACAAACAGATGCCCCCCGGGCAGCAAACGCGCCCAGCTTACTCGCCCTGGGGGAGCCGAGGCCTCTTTGATTCCATGTAAATTTGTACAACGCCCACTTCGGCATGTCTCCGCTTATCACCGATCCCTTTCTGTGGCTCTTCTGAAAACTCGACAATGCAACCCAAGCCGTATTAAAAACAAAACTTTGTTTAAAAACCTGACATGTAATAACCTAACTGTATTACTGTCATGCTGGATGTGTTATGGTCGCGCGTTGCGCTAAGAATACTAACTCATTGCCTTAAAAAAGCACCGGTAACGTTCTAAAGCAGGTTTGCCATGTGTGAACTGTTCTACAATTTGATCGGTAACCGAGTTTACCCATATGAATAAGTTTTATATACATTTTCGTTTTCCTAATCGATTGGTGGGATCCAATACATCGATTAATGTTTAGTGTTTTACAAGTCCCCACTTACTCTCATATTGGATTTCAAAACGGATATTTCAGCATTAAAGGAAACATTACCGCCGCTGATGCATATTAAAAATTGTGTTCAATCAAAATAACAATAGATGCAGAGAAATACATCCGAAAAAATACGGATTTAAGCTAACGATTGTCTGTGTTTTGGTACGTTAGAAATACTAAGAGTTTTCACGATACACAGCTCTCCCAGAATTTTGATGAATACAAATGATTTTGAAATGTTAGATTTAAGTTGGTGAAATCCTCTTTAAGAGAGACAGGACCTAGACTCAAACTTATTTGCTGTTTTCTATGACCGCATCACTGCGCTGTTTTCAATGACAATGTGACAAATCAAGGCATTTTGAAAATCCTCACGTGCTTCAGGAAGGCAGAAGACGAAAGCTGTTCTCTTATATATAAAAGGTACATTTTATTTTATTTTTTTCGTTGGCGATGTTTTATGTAAAGTAAAAGGAAACTAAAAAGAATATTTGTCATTGTTACTAAATGGATATAGTACGGATGATTGCTTTACAATATATTGTTGACTTATGGAAGATGGACATTACAGCTGTTGTATTGAAATTAGTTTTTAATTAATATTTCTAGTTATTGTAGATAGCAGTTATTATTACGGGATATCAGGATTAGAATTTCTTGTATTCCTGTTTTAAAAACGTTGTAAAAGAAGGAAGTGCTCTACAGACGGGAACAGAAACGTACGTGAAGGAAAATTCGCAATTCGTGTAAGTTGCCTCTATTATTTGATTTATTTTCAAAGCTTTGGGTTTTATGACAGCAACAGTCATAAACTCTAGGTTTCTTACACCAAAGGTAAACTTCTCAAATTAGTGGGTTGCTTTTTACAACGTAATTTTAGCGCTGTAATTATTATCGTTTTATTTTGCAAATATAACTATGTTAGGAAAAATTGTTTCATTCGGGTGTTTTGCTTCTTGTCCCGAGGTATAAGTCTATATCGCGTTTGTCGATGTCGTTGTCATCATTATTCGTTTGCCATTCCTTTATTGAGCATCTCTATAAATGCGATTTGACGCTGGCTGTTTACCTCGGCGAGGCGAGGCGAGGCGCCATGCCTATAGCACTGACCTGCTCCGACCCAGGGGGCGCTAGGCCGTTGCACTGAGCGTCGGCTGTATTCGGAAAAAAAGAATCGCGTTTAGTGTTTAGTAGTTAATTTTTTTAGACTGCTTCCTAATTCTGTTAAATAGCATTTGTTTATCAGGCACATAATTTTATTTGATTATCGTTTTACTTTACTGCAAATTTCTACAACAAATAACTTGTGCACTTGCATGCATTTAATGTGCTTTTCAGTAAAAAAAAATATAGTTCTAAACTATGCAGTTTATATAGTAGACTACGCAAAAGGTAGCACACATCTGTATTACATTTTACGTTGTCATTTAAACACGATTTAATTTTTTAAGTATATTTTAAATGCCTTCGAAAGAACACATGCACTTGAAATAGGCTGGGGAAAATATGCAAAGCGTTTTATTTCATCGGGTACAAAACAACAACAGTCAGGTGGATATGTCTTACTGATATCCTGTGACTTGGGGTTACAAAATATAAACAGTTCAAATTTCACGCTCGGAGAGATATTTTTATCACTTGATTTTCACCGTGAAAACACGCTTAGAAGAGCATCTAACTGAAAAAGTAATATACAAATTACATCAAGCGTAATATATCGATATATATTTTTAACAATAAATATCTAAATGTAATATTTTTATTCAGAAACATCGTTCGCACAGTCCAAAGCCTACTTCATGATCCAATATTTTCATGCAACATCCGGAGTGAGTCGCCTCTCTGATGATCTTATTCCATCACAATAAAAAATAGTTTCTTATCTGTGCTCGTAGCTTTCGCGCCGTCGCTGATTCCACCGGAGCGGCGACAATATCGCGAGTAAAACTGTACGGACTGCTGACCGCTTTCGGCACAGCCTGAAATGATCGACTGCATGTAGAGTCCAGAGAAAGGCTAAGGGCGGGTCCATAGCCGCTTCTGCTGTGCCTTATCATAAGGTCCCTGAAAGAACAACTCACTCAACTCACCTTTTTTCGCAATGGAAAGACGAACCCCCCCATTCATGGAAAAAAAACTCACTCACTAACACTGATAATCGCATCCTCAATTGAGACTTGCAGGGATTTTTGTTAATTTAAAAAGTTTGCTTGCACCCATAAAAAGACACGAATGAGTCTCCGTTGTTTTACCTCGGACCAGACAGTCTTAGAAAATTTTAAAGACTTTCATATGAATATTTCACACGACGTAAGTGGTTTACATTTTAGCAATGTGCTCAGTTGCAGTTTTCATACAGCACACCTGCAATTCATTTCTGAACATTTTATCTGAAAAAGGAATTGAGGCCATATTAAACACAAGAACAACAATAGATTGTATAGTTACCTGATACTGAAAATGTTAGGCCTAATAGATTAAAGTGGAATGGAAATGTCGAGTATATACGACATTTTATATTTCAGTTTTAAAAATTATCATGTTACGCAGTGTCACTGAAATCATCCTGTGGGTTTAATAGTACCCTACTTTGCAGTTCAGACCACTGCATGAACTGCCTGGTTTTACTGTAGCCAACAGTGAAATGTGTAACACGTTAATGGGAATCCCATCATTTCTAATACCTCTGGTGCATTGACGTAAACGTTTTAAAATAAAGTCGGTCCGACAACGAGATTTATTGTTAGGCTGTTTTAAAGCCTCGGACTGAACAGGTCAGAGGTGATTGCTCTTCACGTTTAGTCGTATGGTATTAAACGCAGGGGTTTGGTGAACCTCATCCTTCGCTATGATCCGGACAGGGTCAGTCGTTTTCCGGTTACTTTTATTTTAGGTCCCCGATGCTGCTGGTATCTTTTCGTTGTGCACTGTACGCATTCGTGTTTATAGAGGCAGGATTCTCAAGTGAGGATTTTTCACCGCTCATCTTTACATTTGCTAATATTTTTATGCATGTATAAACATTTCCCGGCGTCGCTTACTACTCCTATTTAAAAAGACCATAATATGTAATGAGATGCTGTTGATCATCTCGCTAATTACAACTCCTACTCTCTCTCTCTCTCTCTCTCTCTCTCCCACCCCCTCTCTCCCTCTCTCTCTCATTCCCAGAGTGCATATCGGGAATAGACACACAAAGACATGCGCACTCAACTTAATCAGCCATTTTTTTAAACAGGGCTAAAACGATAATAATTAGCAGAATAAAGACATATCGGATTTTCATTTCCTTTCCTCCCTTTTCCCAACCTCGCACAACCTAAACTGCGAGGCGGCGGTCGACACATGCTTTAATAGCCGGACCCAAAGGAACGCTTCATATTCTCATCGTTTCTGTTTAATTTTTTTCCTATAAAGTTCAAGGATTATTATTTTTTTTTGCCATTTTCCCCCCGTTTTTGTTAACTTTCGCGGTCACTGGATTTGACTTACTATAACTAAAGAAAAAAGCAGAACACGCCAGCGAGGAGACATCGAGGGGAGAGAAAGTAAGTTTTTTTTCCTCTTAACTTTATTGAGTACTTCTTGTTAAAGATAGGTCGGTATCGATCATCTTTCTGCGTTGATCCAGTTCAACCCTTGATATTCCGCTCTCTAGATCACAGCTGTTGAGTGTGATTTAGACTGCCGATAACATTATATCGGTTTAAGGTCTTTGAACTATTAAATACGAGTTTTATTTATTCTAAAGGAATAAGGAATCATTGGCAAAGGTACTTTACATAGTCTAAGTAAGCGAATTATGCAAGTTTATTCGAGTTTCAGGGTTCTATTTGTATATTATGCCCACGAAAGAATTGCATCCCAAAAGAAGCGGTGTGTCAGTATTTTATTACTGGAATAATAAAGACCGATTATATATGAAATTAAACGAAATTAGTAAGGCAGCGTTGGGCACTTGACCCGATGCAGAGTCATAAACATCAAGTGGCACGCAGTAAAGCTAACAGGGTGAATTCATGGGAGCTTAGGATGACAGCCTGTCTCCTGCCGTGTATTAAGCGGTATGCTGTACTTTAAAATTAACGTTTAACGCTACTGCGCTTAATCTGTAAAGGAGCGGCAGCGACAAGAAGGAAATAATGATAATAATAAGGGCATCCTGTGAGAAAATCCTCGGAAAAGAAATATTAGATACTGTGTTGAAATGGTGATCTCGTGCTGCTGGATGTCGGGGCTTCGGTTGTTACCTGGTCGTCTTTACGGTTCTTTGGGTGACAGTATATCCGACAGTAGTGTCTGGTCGCTGGGTTAGAGACCAGCTCCGGGAGGATTACGAAGAGGCTAAATGGATGTTTTTGTAGGCACGGCAGTGCGAAACTTTACGCTGGAAATCCTCCGGTTATTCGACCGGCTCTATCTGCTGTAATCTCCATTTTCCAAACGCTTCGTTCTTGTCTTTAGTTGCTGAAACGCAGCCCGACCTCTATCTCCCAACGGTGCGATGCCATTATCATTTATTTTTTATTTTTTTGTTTTGTTTTGATTCACTTGATGGAAAGAGAGCCTGGAAATTGCGGCGGCTGTGCTGCCTTTTAGGCTGCTGGCCGTTTGTATGAAGCCGGGCTCCGGCGTGAGAGCCGCAGTGACAGCGGCATCGATCGCCCGCATTAGGGGCCAGTAGCGGAGCGTAGCCGCGCTCCGGGTGTGTAGCGTGCTGTGTAGCTGGGAGTATAGCGGAGTGTAGTGGGGTGTGTAGCCAGGAGTATGGCGGTGTGTAGCCGGGAGTATAGCGGAGTGTATTGGGTTGTGTGGCCCTGAGTATAGCGGAGTGTAGTGGGGTGTGTAGCCGGGAGTATAGCGGAGTGTAGTGGGGTGTGTAGCCCGGAGTGTAGTGGGGTGTGTAGCCCGGAGTATAGTGGGGTGTCTAGCGGTCTGGGTCTCACTGTTTTCTCGCGCCCCTTTCAAGCAATTTTCTAATGCATTGTACATTAATAATACAATATGTATACATTTATTTTTTTCTAATTTAGACAAAGTTCTTGGAGAATGATTTGTAGTTGTACAGTACAAAATTGTACTAATTGTACTAAAAAGCACAATTTAAAGTACGTTTTTCACAAACGTTTGAAGAACATTTTCTCGTTAGGCCTACAACAATTCATATTTTTACCATTATGCGCCGTAGTATTTTATGTCATCGTTTTTATTGTACTTTAAAGTTATTATTTTGAGTAAAAATTAATTCGGGTTGATTTCTACATTTGCAAGTGAAGGCAAAGAAACATTAACTTTCTGTGGAATAAAATGATTAGTTCTGTGGCACTGCGTTGTTTAAGCTGTGTTACCGGCCATTTTCATGGTAATTCACGTTGTATTTATGAATATGTATTAATACGGTTTTGGATGGTCTGTGTTCACAGTTAACCAGATAATTCGGTTAATTCAGTTAGGCCTATTAAATTATTCAAATGCGGTTAGCTCTATTTTCCTGTTTTGCGACAATATATTTAACTGCAAAGGCAAGCAGTGAAGAATAATGTATCTCATAAATATAAGGAGGAAAACCCTTAATAACTCCAGAGATTCAGACGTACTCTACTCTGCTGGCTGAGGGATCTCCAGAGGTCCACCGTATGTCATTTCCATGAAGCTAAATTGCTCTCTGCCAGTATGATATTAATGTGGAAATCAATATTTCAGAGCTTAAATTCCCCTCCTTAATTTTCTTATGGTTTATACCTCGGGTCTCAAATCGGATAGAGAGAAGCCGTTACTCTGCAGTGGGATTTGTGTTCCCCCCCCAGTGTTAATTCCTAAGGGGTCCCAGTCAGGCTGTTATGTTTGAATGCTAAGGAAACGTCTTTGTGCAGATACTCTATCCTGTGTATCCATGTGAACATTTTAAAAACATGTCCCCTTACTACAAATAATTAATAAATAAATAAAAATTACAATTCATGCTCTCCCTCCTCCTGTCACGTTTTGTCTGTCACCCAGCTGTGTAGGTTACCCATGTGTGTGTGTGTGTGTATGTATTTTATATATATATATATATATATATATATATATATATATATATATATATATATATATATATATATATATATATATAATGAATTGTGTGACAAATACTCTAGCACAGTATCAGTAATAACTACAGATCTGTTTTTAAGGAGCCGGGACATTGTAGCATGAGCCAGCTTTACACAGTATTAATCATTAACAGCTTTCTCCTGTGTAGACATGTAGACATTGTATTGCGAGTGTAAATTAGGCCGGCTATCTGCCGTAACCTGGTCTCGTCAGAACGTCCTTACGGAGGCAGCCTTACGCAGAATGCATGTTCTCTGCTTAAAGATTCTGCTCCGACTCAGTGTATTAATACTGAACGATTCCAACTGGCCGGCGAGTTCAGCCGCTGCACTCTTTGTTATGAACTCGCGTTGATATTTTTGGTGTCGTTGCTGTTTATAGTTCTGTGTTTTTGGCCTAAAAACCCTGGCATTCTTAGTAGTAATAAGTAGAAGAATATATTTGGTATTTTTATGGGTTCTATTTGTGCGTGTATTTGTTTTTTTGTTAAAAAACGAATTGCGGACAGGATTTATTTATTTTTTTCTCCCTTTTTGTCTTGATAAACTCAGCTGGACATGGCAAGAGTGAGTTTGCATCAGTGTGAGATGTCAGTCAGATCTGCCTAAGCCACAGGATTAGGGCTCAGGGTTTGATGAAGAAAGTCGCTTCTTTAAACGAAGGTTTTATACACAGGCCCTTACAAATGGTGTCAGGCCTTAAACGGAGCCCGCCAGCTGCTAGGACTTGAACCTGTCTGGCAATCAAAGTATTGAACCGAAACCGAGTTTGAGGATTGATTATCATTTACGGCTCGCCATGCTCAGAGCTGGGGGCATTTGATCCCCTGTAAATTAAACTTGACCGCGCCGGAGGTTCCAGAGCGTGTCCGTGAGCTGCGGACTAGTGGCTGAAAGATGAGGAGTCGAGCGGGGGCTTAATGCCTCGCTTCGGGATGGCCGGGGAGGGGGGGGTGGGATGTCACTTCGGTGCGCGGTCGGTTCCTCCTTTTGCTGGCAAGGGTTAAAGATTTGGACGGGGCTCAAAGCGCCCAGACAGAGTGTATTCGAACATGCACGAGCTTCACACAATTAGTACTTAATTATATTAACATATGCAAATGGGCTGCCTGCGGGAGATTTCAGTTGGGTGGGATCAGCTGGGCCGCGGGAAGCCCATTGTTTCGGCGCAAAACGACGGTCTCGAGTCGGACTGTGGAAAACTCATAACAAGACATCTCATTTAGCCATCCACACCATAGCAACATTTCATTAGTTTCCATGGCGACCCCTTTTAATTGTGCTGACTAATGTCCCCCGGCCGTCGCGCGGCCCGAAAAATGCTAGCGCGGCGTGGCTAATCCCCCTCGCGGTGACACATGCTTGTACATATCTCCCATTGTGTCGCTGTCTCGTTTGCTGTGACTCCTCGTTACGCTCTCGGCCAATCCCGTCTCCCTCTGAGGCTCTGTGGTATCATCTCCTTCAAAGGAATTCTTTTATCGTTTGTTTCTGATTAATAGGCCCGATTGGCCCCATTCTGTTCAGCCTCTTGTAAAGGGAAGGTCAGCTCTGTTGTCTAAAAAAAAAAAAAAAAAAAGTGTTTCCACAGCAACTCGGGCATTTTTTCCCTCCTCCGCCTGTTGGCCTATTAAGTCTCGGCCTAAGCAGACCTGGCATGCCTCGGCCACATACTCCTTCCGATAATCTCTGGTTTCCTTCGGGCAGAATCAGTGAACCCCAAAGAAATGCTAATATGTCTGTGACAGCCGTGTTTTTTTATTTATTTATTTATTTTTTGACAAAACGTCAACGGATACCGCTGCCTTTCATCGGCGGGAACGGCAGTTTATGCGAGTGTGAAAGCGTCAGAAACGGATTAGCATTTTTTTGCATAATCAAACGGCGCTGAATGGAGATGGCCGCGGCCTGCTGAATGGGCGAGATTAAAGAGCAGAGCGGCATGCTGCCTTTCCCTTTATTTTATGCGATGCCTTTCCCATATGTGTCGAACTTCAGGGAACTAACATTTCCCCATAACCTCGCTGTCCGAAGTGACCCAGCATTTCAGTGTCGCGTGAGGGAATGTGTTTTAAATTGTCCGTGCATGAGACCAGATTAAAGCGGGGTCAGACGGGTTCGGCGATGATATCAAGCCGACGGGGAACGTTTTCGTCTAAAGAGCAAATCGTGAAATTGACAGGTTTAAACATTGAGAATTGAACACATTGTTTTTTTTATTTAAAACTTTGCGGCGTATTGGGATGAGACTTAAAGCTATCAGTCCGGGGAACTTTAGCAGAAATGCAGGAGCAGCCCATGGGAGAGATGTCACTGGCTGGTCGTATGGGAGGCTAACCAAGGTCCACAGAGTGTTTTCATTAGATGGGGTATCATGTCGCCGGCCTTCTGCGGGCCGGAGCCCAGCTTCTCATCCCAGGAGGCACTGTTTCAGGAGAGTGACGGTGCCTTTT